TGATGTGAACTCTATCTGTCCAATCACGGTGTGAGAAACTTTGTGCTACTCAAAATTTAGGGTCAAACTGAGATAGGCAAAATCCCCTAGAAAAAACCAAGAACGAGCACTATAAGAAGTAAACATGATGACAAGAGAGTAGAAAAGTTGTCTCTTATCATTCACAGACTTCTGTAATATTTCTCTATGGTGTGAGATGACGGCACATTAGTTCTTCTTCCTTTCAGAACTTTCTTGCCTTTGGTAGAAAAGGTATTGCTTGACTTTCTGGTTACTAGCAGTCAAGTTTTTGTTTAAAGGGAAGTAATAACAAAAAAGGAAGAGAAGTGGTGATGACTCTTGAAATTTTATCAAGTTGGTTTAAGGAAAGTTTTAAAACTTTATTAATATAGAAGTGTGAAAACTTCTTATGAACGTCTTGTTTGTGTGTGGTCAGAGGATCAGCGGGTTTTACTTTGAATAATTTTATTATAAATCAAATAATAATTAATAAAAAATAAAAATATTTAATAATAATAAAATTTCAAAAATTATTTATAAATTTTTTTTTAAAAAAATACAAGAAATAGAATAAGTATCAAAAAATAACATATATAAGTTTTATAATTTTTGATTGTATAATTAAAGATTTAAACATTGTCATAATTAAAATTTATAATAAAAATATAATAAGTGAACTTGAATTTTTGAAAGTAATTATATATAATCAAAATTCAATAAATATATAAATTTCAATAAAATTAAAATTTTGACAAATGTCAAAATAAAAAATAATTTTTAAAAAAATTTATAATAATTTATTTATCATTAATTCATAAAATATATAATTACTTTTAAAAATTTAAATTCACTTACTTTGTTTTTATTATAATTTTAACTTTATCAATTTTTAAATCCTTAATTATACAATTAAAAATTATAAAAATTATAAACATTATATCTTAAAATTTGATTTATTTCTTATATTTTTTTCAAAAATTATATATATAATTTTTAAAGTTTTTTTAATTGTATAATAAAAGATTTAAAAATTAACAAAGTTGAAATTCATAATAAAAATATAGTAAGTGGACTCAAACTTTTGAAAGTAATCATATAATAAAAATATATTAATGCTGAATTATATAGATAAATAATTTATTTATATCAAATTATATAGTATAAATATTAAATTATATAGTAAAAATTAATTGATAATTTATTTATATCATTAATTTATTGAATTGTTTCTTTTTTTGATAAATATTATATATATCAAAATAAATATTTTACAACTTTAAAGATGAAAGTATTTCAAGCAATAAAATATTAATATTATAATTTTTTTGAATACAGATAAAGATTTAGATTTAAATCTAAAAAACCTTTTTCTTTTATTTTTTAATAGCAATGAAATATAAAATTCCTTAACAAATAGCAATAGGCTATTAATAAAATTCTTCTTAGATTAACTTTTATTATATATCATTTCTTGAATATACTGTTTGTATTCTTGATCTAATAAAACAAGGTTTACAAAAAAAAAAACATCTTAATTTTAATAGATTCTACATATTGTATATTATTTTGAGGCACGTTTCCGTTTTTTTTTTTTTTTAGAATTCTTACTTTATTAATCTAACGTGATGAGATCAAATGTTATCAATGTGTGACGTACAAGGATATTAATAATCCTATGCAAATACGCAGTTTGTCATTGTTCAAACCCTTAATTATTTCTTTTTCTTATAATTTCTTAAGTCATATCGAGAGAAAGTTACAGACAAAGCGACCAACTCGCCTAACAATTAAAACTCAGATTTCATCTTTTGACGATTTTTGAGGTGACAACACAATAATCTCAATAGCAGCAGTGCTGGAAAACAAGCAAAGACTCAACGAAACATGTCCGTCGAACTTGAACCATCATCACAACTTCCTTTTCATCGTAAGTACTGTAAAGGCTTAGATGCTACGATTTAAAAATTATTATTCGGAATTTCAAGCGATTCCGTGTTTGGATGAAATTTTTTGCGTAATAAGCTTACCAATCTTTTATATATTATGCATATTACTTATTAAATATATGTTTCATATTATTTCATTGAAATACAGGTCCTTTTACACAATTAGTCAAGGAAATTCTCATTGTTCGTAACCCTAATCTTCAACCGGTAGCTTTCAAGGTTAAAACAACAGCCCCTAAGCAATATTGTGTGAGACCAAATTCGGGTAGAATTGAAGCGAACCAGAGTGTAGAGGTGCAAGGTATTCACCGTTGATAGAAAAAAAAGTCAATTCTGACGTTAGAAAGATTTTTTTAAAAAATGGACGCACATTTTCATATAGTCATCCTCCAACCTATGAAAGAGGATCCACCTCCGGATTTCAAATGTAAAGATAAGTTTTTGGTACAAAGTGTGGCAATTACACCAGAACGAGAGACACTATCTCTACAGGAATTGGTAAGAAAATTTTTTTTTTGAACTCGTCAAAATCATTGGAATCACCTATTTATTTATACCTCATTGAAAATAAAAGTGGTCTACAATTGAGAAAGAGGCGAAAAATAGCATCAAAGAAAACAAGATTCGATGCGTATACTTGCCACCAGTTACGCCTGTCGGGAATAATTTGCCTTCGGCATCACCTCCTCCGAATCTGCCTCTCCCGCCTCAACCATCTGTTCCGGTTCGTCCTGCATCTCCAAGTTCTCCATTAGATAACAGCATTTATTCTGAGGCAGATAAGGTAAGCATGAATTCGAATTATTCAAAGGCACGTTGCGACCACAATCACTTATGCTCAATTTTGATTTATAGACGATCAATCATCTTTCTTCTCCACCACCGTACACAAATGACATTAATAACAAGACAGCCGTGTCGGCACACGCAGAAACCGTTCCGACAACACAGAACCTAACAAATGGATATCCAGCAATCATCTCATCTCGTGCACCTGGGGCTTTTCCCAAGGATCACGAAGATCAGACCATTAAAGCTTCCAGAGAGGACGATCCTGCAAAACTACGAAGGCAGTTACTCGAAGCACAAGATGAGATTAAACGCCTTAAACATACCATCGAAAATTACAAGCAGGAATTAAACACAGCCCAAATGAGGCAACGCAAAAATGACGAATCTGTTTCTCCATCAAACCGACATAGCATTTCTAGTGGTTACTCTGTCAATGTTCAAGAACGAATTCCTGAAGGTTATTATCCGTTTGAAGTAGTAGTTGGAGCTGCTGTGGGGGCTTTCCTGTTTGGAGTGATGTTCTTTTGATCTATTTGTATTATCTTTCTTGAGGATATTGGATGCCTTTGATTTTAAATGTTTCTTGTCAATTGTTATTTTGCCTCACCCACACAAACATTTCATTTGCCTTTGCCATTTGAAAATTTAAACCATTGACATAATATTATAGGAATGTGCTATATTGTTAATTGCTGTAAAGGCCGTGTCACCTCGATTTACCATTAATCATCCGAGATATCTTCTCAGCGAGGACATTTTCGAATATTAGTTTGTCATAGTATTGGCACAAATCCTTTTCTTCTTTCTTTATTATTAGAATGGACGCCCTCAAAAAATACATAGCGTCATACTACTCCGACAACTTCTTAATCATCTTGTAATAATTTGCAGATATTTTCCTATTTGCGGGTGTTGTTTCGGAGGAATCCGTAATTAATTGTTGAGAAAAATACATTCATGGATTGAACTAAAATTTGCTTCTATTTTATCATGATTTTCTTGAAAACTCATAAGCGGTACATAAATTTAATATATATGGGTGGAATCATGTGACCACACACATGTTTCCAATGTAACGCTCCTATACCCAGTAAATTGCGGAGGATAAATTACACGACAAGAATTTAGTCAATATTGTGAATGTGGTGTTCGAAAATCTTCACGCTTTCAAATATAAAGTGTAAAAGAACTTTTCAGGTTTTATTTAAATAATATGAATGCACATCTAAAAGGGCAAAGTGTCGTCTAAATTTCAAGGTAAGGGATTATTAACTTTAGTATATATTCCTCGATTAGTTACATCACATAATAAATGCCACATTTAAAATCTGTCTTCTGCAAATGAAGTGATCGAAGAAGTCGAAAATGTCCTTCGTGAGCTATAGTTGGGTCTCTCTCTGTCAACATTCTATGTATGAAATGCTTAAAGGTGAGAATTTAATGATTTTAATTAATCCAAACAAAGATATCCTACCTGTGGTGCAAGATAGGATTTCAAGTCCGCTAAGTTATAAAAAAAAATGGCGTAATAAAAGGATGTTAGTAAATAGTTACTATATATTTTCTAGTCTGAATTCCATCCAAATTAGATCAGGCATTTTTGGCAATATATTTTTATCTTCAAAGAATTATCGGAACAGGTCTGATATTTTTATCATCATATCTATTATTTCATCAAACAAGTAGATATACTTACAAAGCTTCTCTTCTGATAAGTCAGTGAATTGGATTGGGTTATTGTCATCTTCGCTGTCATACAAGACTGTCGATGAGACCGATAAATCTGCGCATTGTTTGGCCAGCTTTATAAATTTATGTTGTTCCTCTTTATACCTAGTATTCATGCATTATCAAATACTGGATTAAAGATTGTCTTTCATATTGAATAATTTAAAAGCTTTAAAAAGAAAATGGATTTACGTATTAAAAGCTTTTTCATTAAGGCAATGTTTCCTCGACAAGTGATCCAATACTTCTTTTTTGAATGCTTTCTTGATATAATGAAGCACATGGAAAATATAATACTTGTTTGGTTCCCAATCTTTAAATTGTTGAGTTAAGGAAAATTCTCCAGTTTCCGGATCAATGAGCGGGTGGAATAAACCCTCAGTGTTTATTAGATGGCACATAAAATGAACTTTTGGGCGACTTTCTGGATAAGTAATTGAGTCAAAATTTGTTAAGGCATATAAAATAGGATCTATTCGTTCAACCTTTTAACAGATCAAGTGAATAAAAATAAAAATTTAAAAGGATATTTATTAGGGATTTCTAATTTGAACTTGAAAACACCGCCCTTGTAATATCCCTTATGGACGAATAATACGCCGTACCAAGCTAAATATGAACTTGATCAATGCAAATTTCCTTGCAAATATGACTATGACTTGGATAGACTTCCACTTACTATGAAAATCGTCGGCCGAAGGCATAACGTAAACACCACTTGGACAGTGCCCTGGATTGCGGAGATTCGTACTTTTAAAATGTAATAATGCATGTTTTCATTAACGGTAACAAGCAAAACACTATTCACTTGGCTACAAATAATGGTATACTAACAATTCGATCATTAATTCCATTTTTCTAAAACATTCGTCTTTAAATAATGGTCTCTGTAGCTTGTCATTTTCATGACCACGTTCGTCGTTTTCATCTTCCCGCCTCGAGTTTCCTGTGCCGCCTGAACGATAATAAGAAATAGCACCCGACATAGCAAACAAATAATGACCTGATGGGAGTAAGTTAAAAAAAATAAATGTAAATCACTGGATTTAAATCGTACCAAAAAACCTAATTTATTAATAACTATTCAACTATAATTATTATTATATACTGTATATTAAAACTTTTAAAAGTTTATTAAATTAATTGTATATATTATTAAAGCTAATTTTTTAACCTATTCATTTTAATTTAAGTAACTCTAAATATAATTTTAAAAATAATTTAATGGTTTAAATTTTTCTAATACATTATATATTATTATTTGCAAATTATTATTGCAAATTATTTTTTAGTTATAATTATTCTATATCTAATTTTATTTGTTATAATTATTATAAAATCTTTATTCTTTATTTACAGTAAATATATTTTTTAAGTATTAACTTATTTTATTTTATAAATTATTAAAGAGATTATAATATCAAAAGTTAATTATTTATATACTATATATATTTTGATTTAAGTTTATTTTAATCAAAATAAAAAAATAATATATTATTTAATATAATTATTTTTTAATCCATATTATAAATAATAGTATTAAATATAATTGCTTTCAAAAATTTGAGTTCACTTACTATGATTTTATTATAAATTTCAACTTGAACAAATAATTATCTTCACTACCTAGGTAATTTAATGTTCATTCTAAGGGTCTTATGATTTCCTTACTT